GATGTTAAGTTTTCGTTTTCCATACTATACAATAGTTGAAAATTATTTTTTAGTATTCTCAATTACCTATAAACACCATATCATATTTTGTTTGATTTTGTAAATATATATTTTGTTTGATTTTATATTATTAAAAAATCTGTAATGCAGTATTGCGCTATACATATTACTGTAAGAATTTAAATACTTCTATTGAAAAAATTTAAGTGTGATTATCCAACAAGCAAATAATCGACTTAATCTAAAATTATTGTTTAAAATTAAAATTGTTGTTAAAAACTTTTGAAATTGTCAATTGTCAATTTTGAACTTATGATGCGAACCATTATTCCAAAAATAAATTAATTTTTATAATAAATAATATAGTTACATTCTGTACTATATGTAATTTTATGTTAAGCACATTATTAATTCTACTATATATTGTAATTTTGTATATTTGTTAATTGTTATCCATAATGTAAAAAAATTGTATTTTTGAGTCCTCTTGGAAGAAATCTGTGGGCTATATATTTAAAAATAAATAAATAATTAATTAAACCACTTTTTGTAGATGTATAATATTTTATGATCTTCATTAAAACCACGAACTCTATCATCATAAAAAAAATCTCCATTTAATTACGTAGAAACAGCCGGCAGATATTTACTTTTACCTATTCCTTGAAAACTTGGGATTTTTTAGTCAGTTATTTTAGTAAAGTAAAATAAATCTGTTTTTGTCGTAAATTTTAGGACAATGCAACTCCAGGACCACAGGTAAATATCTGCCGGCTATTTCTTATTAACTAAGAAATTACATCTATTATAGTTCCTTGGTTAATAAGGAGTATGGGCAACCTATTAGCAAAAGTTTGAATGTTTTTTAAATTTTTAGGCTTATTGGAATCAAGCATACAGAAATGTACAGATTTTGTACAAATATTACTGTACTACTGATAATGCTAAAAAATTCAAAAAACATGATGCGCTCACGTTCAGCTTTATAGTATAAATAATTTAGGCGTAAATTTCTTTATAAGATATTAATGTTATGTTACGGATTCGTAATCGTATGATGTGGTTGTCAGACCAGACAAAAAGAATTGTATTTGCTGTTTGATCAGGCGTTTCACCCATAAAACCTAACCTGCAAAATGCACAATTATCAAATAACAATTTTATTTAGGAATTGTAACTTCCTGATGTCTCGTTGTAAACACATACGTGAAGTCTAACCAAAGTTAGTATTATAACATTTGTGTTTTTTGGAGGTTAGGTTTTATGTGTAAAACGCCTAATCGCGCAGCAAATACATAGCTTTTTGACAGTGCGTTACTACCTACTCATACAATTATAAACCTTTAACATAGCATTTCTAGTTTTTCGGAGAATTGGTACCTTAACTGTTTTTACTTTCAGGAAGTTCATAGTTTCGAACTATGTTTTGTATTTGTATAACAAAGTTTTGTATTGACGCCAATAATTTTTTAAAAAATTTACATCTTTTTGTATAGCGATTGAAATACCTTTATGCATCCCGGACTAATGTTTTGTCTGGGTAAGTCGGACTCAATACCACCCGGGTATAATACCGACTAAAACATCCGCTTTACCCTTGCCTCTAGTCCCCTCGGAAACCGCCGTTAGGCATTACTTCGTGGGGGGAGAATCTAGAATGTTATCATTCTTAACTTGTATTTATACTCATCTTTTAAATAGGCAAAAAGAAAACAATTTTAAAAAGATTATAAAAAAATATTTGTAAATACATTTCTCAATTTTGAATCAAGCGGGAGTGGTATTTCAAAAAAAATGATTAAAATATTTAGAATAGAAGTATTGGTATTTAAAATCAATTTAATGAGTGTTTGAATCACAACGCTGTTATTGCCGTCATTTCTAAGACACATGAACCAAGTATCTGCAAATAACAGAATATTCTAAAATTATTACCAATAATATTTGAGAAGTAATCTTAACGATTACGATTGCTTTTATGTTTGCTTTGACGACAGTTGGCGCGTAATTTTTATCGTTCAGCTGTTATGATCAGGCGCGATGGAACATCATTAATGATGCAGTATATACGACAATTACGTTTTGTCGTATAATTCGTTTAAAATAGTACAACCAGGACCCGCCTCAACGTTGTTCGAGTTCTCTCGGCAAGGAACGGGCGCAATGTGGATTGTGGAGTGCAATATATAGGAACTCTATATTGCCGGCGCATACAGTATACGGAGCACACGAACACAGGAGTCAGGACGCCCGGGCTGCATTCGGGTGTGGGAGCAGACTGCAGACAGCAGGGTGCACTGCACCCGACGTTCAGTTCCGGTCAATATCGTCTGCGTCGTTATTTCGTCGTATTTGCAATTTTAATATCAAATCGTAATAAAATACTGATTCATTCCTTAATAATACAATATTACTAGTGGTGTATCGTGCCTTAAGGTAAATTGCTGGAACTTACCCGTTACCCATACCGTAACGAAATGTTCGAAGAATATTAAATATTTTCAAATAGATTATTATAAGTACTGTAACATTTTCTAATATTTATAAGAATTATATAAACTGAATTACAAAGTTAAAATTATTTATTTAAAGTATATAAGTGAGCTTTAAAACTTTAGCCAGAATTAAAATTGAAATCTGAATTATTTTTGATATACAAAAAAAAGAAAAATTTGAAATGAACAAAAATTCCAAAAGCAATTGTTTTGTCAACACAAGCAGATTTTTTTTTTTTTGAATCATTCAAATCGGACGCTTAGTTCTCGCAAAAACTGCCATTTGTTGTACATTTAACTCGATATCTTCGAAATGGCTAAACCTGCCTTTGCCAAAAACTAATAAGCACATTTCCCTATCAATAGAAACCAAATGTTTGCAAGTTGCATTCGCTTCCCGATACGTTTAAATAATCAACTTAATCAATGCGTATTGAGACTCAACTATTTACGTAAAATTTTTGAACATAAAATTTTAATTTTCACTAAAAGCTAATCACTTTAATTTACAATTGATCTGTAATTGTATAAATTAAACTACCTTGTTCAACATACTTTATTTTATCTATTTTGTGTTAAAAATATGTATTTCATTTCAATATGCACGTCAACTGTAATCAGTATCTGCATGGAGTCCAGGATGAGTCCATTAATCACCTGATGTTTGAAAGGGAGGAGGAGTTTGACAAAAATCACGAAATATCACATTAGGGGCAGGGAGGTCTAGTAAGATAAAAAAAAATTAAATAAAAAAATTAACGTTTTTTCTCGGTATAAAAAATACAAGTTATGTTAGGTGGGAAAGGGGGGGGGGGGTAATTTTAAATTTTACCACGTATCACCAAGGCGGAGAAGAGGTCCAAAAATCCTTAAAAATCGATTACGTGATTCATGTACGCCCTCCTCATCGTTTCATCAAAATCGTCAAAAGAATGGTATTCAACATTTAGGGACCGATTTTGCCACATAACAGAAAAATGTTATGGCAATGCCATGTTATGAAGAACTTTCTATATATAATAATGACAAAAGCCATGTGGTTGGTGTGCAGTTAAAAGAACGATTTTAGATAACAGAGTCTTTCTGACTCAGCTCCATAACATATGAGTGACGTTGTAGTTTATGTGTAAAACGCCTGAATGCACATCAAATACATCACATTTTGACAGTATTCAGTATGATTCAATAGCATAATGTATGGAAGTTGGAGCGTGACATGACCTTGCCATAACATTTTTTCTGTTGAGTTTTATTTGAACCCAACCTTACTGACAAGAGAGTTTTATATGAACCCAATCTTACTGACGACAGAATTTTATATGAACCCAACCTTATTGACGGTAGAATTTAATGTGAACCTAACCTTACTGACGAGAGAATTTTTTATGAACCCAACTTTACTGACAAGAGAGTTTTATATGAACCCAACCTTACTGGCTGTAGAACTTAATGTGAACCCAACCTTACTGACGAGAGAATTTTATATGAACCCAACCTTACTGACGAGGGAATTTGTTATGAATACAACTTTACTGACAAGAGAGTTTTATATGAACCCAACCTTACTGACAAGATAATTTTTTATGAGCCTCAACACTGACGGTAGAATTTAATGAATTTAAGTGAACGACCCGGCCGATCTTTACCAAAAACTGATCAGCGCGATTTCCAACCAATATCTTTCAAACAGATTTTGAACTTTTAAAATCGATTAAAGATTGTTTGTAAAAAGTTTTTGCTTTTCTGCTAATTACATAGAAGCGACTCGGCCAATCATTGTCAAAAAAATACCCATCTTTACCAAAAAGCCAATAGAAAAGAGCACTATAGAAAATCTATTTTGTATTGGCTTGTGTACACACAACAGTAGAGGAATCTACTGTAGATTAGCACTTATGCACTTTTTCAAAAATTTTATCAACGATCGATCTGCATTTACATTTTACCCTTTCAGGCTTTATGGTTAAAATTTAAAAAATAATATAACTAACTAGTGGGGGGCATGGCATTGTGCCTTAAAGCAAATTGCCGGAACTTTCCGTGCCGTAATTAAAAATTTTGGTACGTAATCCAAAAAAAATACACAAAATGTGTACACATTATGAAAATCTTTATAAAATATTTGATAATCCGATGTACATTTATGTCCAATAAACATTTTTGTCCGCAAAATATCATTTTTTTAACTTATTTTTATTGAGAGTCCATAACCGCTGGACCTGCCTTATCAAAAAATTTAATTTCCTTTTTTTGCGATTACTATAACTTGCCCTACGGAAAGTTAAAAAATGTAACTAAAAATATAAATACTATACTATAATAATACTATATAATAATAAAAGAAGAGTATACTATATAATTATTTATTAGTATTTTTATTTACATGTACTAAGAAACACGTATACTAGAATTGTTATAAAGTTGTGAACACTATAGTGTTCTATATATATTGATAGCTGTATATCTTAATTATATTTTTAACATAAAATTTTTAACATAAATATGTTATGCATCTTTTGCAGCCTCTATAGATGAAGAAGGAATTTGCATATCCAGTTGAGCTTGTGCTATATGACGAAGTGCACTTTGTATTTTTTCCAATAACAGTTCACCCCTTGCCACCATCTTTTCTAATCTATCAGCAGCTTCTTGGTTTTCAGTTTCAAGAACTCTTAAGCTATTATTTTGTAGCTCTGTTGAACTGTCCTCATTGGGAAGAGATTCAATTAGTGTATCAATATCTTTTGCACACCTTGAGATGAGAGTAGAGAACAACTGGGTATAATCTTCCTGGCTCTGTTGCTGATTTGGGGCCTGATTTGGGGTTTGACTGTCATTTCGATCAGAGGAAGAAAATTTTGTAGGCGTTGAATTCTGTTGCAAAACTCCGATTGCATTGCAAAAATTATCTGCTTGCTGGTTAACAAGATCTTGTAATTGGGTTAAACGATCAGACATTTTATTAATAGTTATTAATATTGTTAACAGATTACACACACAATTGTTCTTAACAATCAGTATTCACGATTGCCAACTGTTATCTTTCAAATAGTTTTTGAGTTTTGACGATCACTTCACGATATTTGGTTAGACAAATTACATTAATTAAGAGAGTTAATTAGGTCATATTATTAAAATAATTTAAATCTTATAGCCTTTTTAGACCAAAATTTTAGAACTAGTAGAATTTTCTAGAACTGTTTCATAAATGGAATATCACCGTTCACCGTTCATGCAAATTTTACAAATAGTTGGTTGTTTATACTCTTGATGGTAAATTCACAAGAGCGAAAAAGAATGTTATTTAGCTTATGTAGCATTTATCACAATTTCCATAACATTTGCACCAAAACTTCCTCGACAGTAATAATATTTTCATTCAGTTTTTAACGTCCAACGCATTTCATATTTGACAACTCATATTTGACCACATGGAGCCATCTATTATTTTCCTTATGTATGAACTATAAACGGTTTGTTTCACCGCTATAGAAATAGATTGAAATATTTGCTAAACTTGTCAACCTGTGTCTTAATCTGCAAGTTCACATTAGTTTGTAGTAAATGTAAACGTCACCCAAGAAACGTCATTTGCGCTAAAGAAAAGTGCAAGTTTTCGATATTTATTAAAATATCTAATAGTTTGTGTGCTTTTATTATTTAGATTGTTTTCAGCACCTGCCATGGCACCACAACAATCTGATGTTGATGAATTATATGATATTAAATATGCTTTTTACACCGGCAATTTTCAACAGTGCATAAATGAGGCCCAGAAATTAAAGGTTTATTTCAATTTTTATTATATATATATATCCCCACAAGATATATATATATATATATATATATATATATATATTAAATGTTAAATATGAACAATACAGCACTCTTTAATTTTAAATTTAAAACTACGCTTGTGGCTCATGCTAATATCGACAACCATAAGTTTGATTTTGATAATCCCCAAATCTTATTCCATGAAAAAGACTTATTTAAACGGAGCATGGCAGAATCAATGTTAATAGATCGGACTAACATTAGCGTAAATCTGAGATCCGACCCAAATATTTTACACGACTCTTATATAAACATCATTAATAATTTATAATTTTCATTCATTTATCTTATTCTCTTCAATAAATCAATCTGTTTTCACATTTGTTGATTTTAGCATGGGATCACGCATTTATTTACATTATAATAATAACCATCCTGTCTCTTCATCTTGATACTTAGATTTGTTCAAAATATTTCACTATGTTTCACATGTTTTAGTACTGTGTAGTATATAAGTAACAGTTTTGAAATTGCACTGAAGATGAGGCATATCATGGTCTCAAACGTCTGTAATTACCAAATAAAGTGTGTGTTAAAAATCTGAGTGTTGTATTGTTGAGTCTATATTATAAGAAACAATATAACAAGTCTATATTGTAGGTTTCTATAAAATGTCCATTTTCCAAAAACCGTTTTTATTAAGAATAGATTTTTTCATTTGACAGTAACGAAACGGCAATAAAAAACATAAAGAGATATCATGCTCCTGTGATTTATACAGTTGGTTTTTAAATTGCATATCAACACATATGAAGTAATTAAAATGTGATCTGAAAAATTGATCAATTGGTTTCATAAATGTTATTATCCTGTTAAAAGTGCTTTTAGGAATCTGTAAACTTTAAAACTTTAGTCAGTCTACAGATTCCATACATATTTGCTTGTAAAAATATTACGTATATCGCAATTTATTAGTTAAATTGCGATATACGTAAATATAAAGTTTTTAATATTTTTATTACAAGCTGAAGTCTTTCATATATTCTATTATTTCTTTTTTTAATATTAGAAAAGGCATCCTTTTATGCTTTATTTTTAGAAAATTATTGTTGCACTATAATTCTTAACTTTTTTAGTTTAATTAGAACTTTATTCGATACCTATGAATTTTAAAATTGATGAAATTGCCGAATAATTGAGTCATGTTAATACATATGTCAACTAGATCTTGAAACGTTTCATTAATAATTATTGGAGTAATTATCATTATCATCATTGGTAAATTTGTCTGATAAAGTTACCGCTTTCGGAAAATATATAGAATGTTTATAATTGAGTAATATTTTTTATTTTAGCCTTCCAGCCCTGATATTTCAGTTCAACGAGATATTTTCTTATACAGAGCATACATTGCTCAATCAAAATACAGAGTTGTTTTGGATGAAATCACTAAGAGTTCTTCTCCAGCCCTGCAACCACTAAAGCTTCTAGCAGAATATTATGCACAACCCTCAAAAAGACCAGAAATATTGTCAGAATTAGACGAGAAAATTGCAAAAGGTGGTGATGATGCTACCTTGGAATCATTCTTGATTTCAGCTGCTACTATATATTATAACGAAAACAATATGGATGCAGTCTTGAGGTTGTTTTAATAACATAACAATTGTTTCTGCTATTCTTTTTTCTAATTTTGTTTTCTATTTACAGGTTATTACATGGTTCAGATCATTTAGAGTGCTTAGCAATGACTTTGCAAACACTGTTGAAAATGGACAGAGTAGACTTAGCTCGAAAAGAACTGAAATCTATGCAAGAGTTAGATGATGATGCAACGTTAACTCAACTGGCACAGGCTTGGGTGAATGTTGTGTCTGTAAGTAAACTCATGTAATAAATTCTATCTTATGTAAATATGCAATAATCATATGTGTATTGTATACATTCACCTGAATAGATAATTGAATAATTATTATATACATTTAAATAAATTTAAATATGAACTAAATACCATTCCCAATTTTCATTAATGCATCAGATCTTTATTTTTTATTCAGTGTTATTTATTATTGTTTCATCCCTAGGGAGGCGACAAATTACAAGATGCCTATTATACATACCAAGAACTTTGTGATAAAGCTACTCCAACACCAGCTTTATTAAATGGTCAAGCTGTAAGTTTAGCAAATCGTGGCTTATGGCAAGAGGCAGAAGGATCATTGCAAAATGCTTTAGATAAAGATCCCAATCATGTTGACACATTAATCAATATGAGCGTTATTAGCCAACATTTGGGTAAAGCTCCAGAGGTAAGACTATTGTCTGAAAATCTAAATTTGTCAATGCATAAATTTCTTAATATTAGATCATCAACTGAAAACATATTTGCAATAATAAAATGAATATTGGATTGTATGCTAGTTTTAAAAAAAATGTTTCGCGTTTAAGCAAAAGTATTTAAATATTTTTCTAACTCATCTTTAATTAACTTAGGTTGCTTCAAGGTACATATCTCAATTAAAAGATTCTCACAGTCAACATTCTTTTGTCAAGGACTTGTATCAGAAAGAAAATGAATTTGAACGTTTATGCAAACAATATGCACCATCAAATACAAAAGAACCAGAAATTGGTGTTCTATAATTAGTGTTAATAAAGGTATAAGAATTAAATATATAGATATAAAATTGTTATAATTAAAACATTTTCAATAAAAATTTTAATCTATAATTAGATTTTATATATTATGTAGTATTAGTGAAAAATTATATTAGGTAAAAATAATCCATTTCAGCTAAAGTTTATTTAAGTACAATATGCTTTAACATAAAATAATATTCATAATCAATTTGATAGCATATCAAGTCAACTTTGGTATTAGAAAGAGTTGCAGATTATGCAATTTTACACAAATTTTTCACAATGATGATGAAAACAGACATAATATCCAAGATGAATTCAATTATAAATCAAATATTCACATAAAAGAGTAGTAAAGCATGTACCATACATGTGATATAAAAATCTATGATATAGAAAAAAGTGCTAATTTGATTTATTTTGTACATTTAAACATGGGGTGTTATTAATTTCTTATAACTTTCTTATCTGATTGTGTTGTTTGTACTTATTCTACTATGGACAATTTTTAACTTACGAGCCGAGGTGTTTTAATTGTTAAGCACATATACTTTGCATTAATTAATTATTTAAATTCAACCTCAGTTAGTTCTTTTGATGAATACTCATGATAAAAATTAAATTTGTAATTGATCTTTAATTACAATGCTTTTAACATGTTCAACATTTGGGAACCACTCTTTTTAAATTTTGTATTACTTATCTAATAGAGACTTTTGATAATATCTTATTCCATAAATAAAATGATGTATCTACTCTATATTTGATTTTTATATTATTCTATATTTTTGTGTGCATTTTGAATCATATTTGAAGATTTGATTACCATCCAATGAGTCCTTTATGTATCAAATCAGTGAATGAATTGTCAAGGATTTTTGCTTTGTTAATATAAGTAATAAACTTAATAATCGACTACGATATGATTTTCTATGAAATTAATAGACATTTATATATTTCAAACAAAAATATTTTCCACAAATAAGCAACTAATAATAAAATGTTAAATTTTATATTTGAAATTCGCGCCGCTCTTAACTTAGCTCCATTACACAAATTCTGTCGGCCATTGATTGAACCTAACCCAGAACATATTTTCCGTTTTAACGTTTTGTGATTTGATGCATACGCAGTGTTTTTGGTGCTTATACAAACTTTTATAAAAAGCATTTATAAAGATGTCTAGACGTTCTGTTTCAAATATAAATGGAAATATGTCTTTTCAAGTAAGTTTATAATTACTATATTTTAAAAATCCGTGTTTTATATATAGTAATCTCCTTAATCATCTCAACGAATGAAGTTATCTTGCCACAGTACGTTTCTCTCTTTGTTGAAATAGTATACAAGTTGTTCTATAATATTTTTTGCGGCAATTGCATTATTTCCTGAGTTTTGTTGCGATATTTTATTAGGATTTAACCAGATTATGAGGTTATCCATCGCCTCGTTGCATTTTCGATGTATGAGTTTGTAAAGGCCGAAATATTTGTGCAAAGCCTTGCCATTACAAACTTATCAGTATTTATTGGTTAATTATTAATTTGAGTTTTATATATCTTGTATCTTGAAGCTAAAATCTTAACAATGCGCCTTGCTCTAGAAACTTGTAGATTTTACTTTCGTTTGAATTTAAATGAATTTGATTGCCGAAATAATTTCGCCATGTTCATTCTTGAAACGAAAGCTTTGCCAGTTTCAAATACTTATGGAAGTATTTTGGACTTTTGATAAGTTTATCTTATGATACATTTCTTAGGTTTTTATCAAATATCTGAAACATAATTTTTATTTTCAGGATGCTGATGATGAGATTATGGATGATATAGACACAATAAGTGATTCATCTTTAGATGAGCGTGATGAATCAGAAAATTTGACAAATAAGACCTTGCTTTTGATTAATGAACATTTGAAACGTTCTATGAGGGAAGATAGCCTTAACGTCTATGGGAAATATGTCGTATCATGTTTGCGAAAAATGACAAAAGAACAAAGATTGTTTGCCGAAAGAATTATAAATGATGTACTGTTTCGGGCAGCATTGAGCAATTTGAGTTTTGCAGATGTAGAGCGCTTAGATGGTAATTCAACTTCAAAGGTATGAATACATATTTAAAAAGTTTTATTTTTATATTTTCATCTAGTTCACACAAATTGCACGCTTATTCTATGTTAAGTTAGTAAAATTGTTATAGATATAACTGTTTTAATGTTTATATCATGTAATATAGTGCATTACCATATCTTAATGACAAAAATTGTTTTTTTTTGTTTTTAATATTAGAATAAGCAAATTGTAAGTGCTTTACTTTTTGACTTGTAATTTTTCAACTCTATTTTGAATGAAAACTTGGACTTCACCCAATATGTATATTACATATTTTTAAAGCAATTCAAGTTTTTCATTGATGTTTTTAACAGCTTGGAGATGCATCAATGGAGAAACAATAAAGATGAAATATCTGGCCAGGAATATTTTAACAATGGACTAATTATAAGGTTGTTGAAACCTTTGAGAAGGAGTGAGTCGACAGTGTAATGTTTAAAGACTTGTTTTAGTTATATACTATATATTGACTTTTAATTCCTTACTTCGGTGAAGTAATCTTGTCATTAATCTTTATATTTTTTTAAAAACATTTTCTTATACAACTTTTGATGTTCAATATAGGTGAATTATTGAGATATGAATCATAACTGATAGTAATTAAATTAATATTTTAATATTATTAAGGTAAAAAGTGCCATTATTGTCTGGCAAGTTGAGCGTGCAATACTCACTGTAACTTAATTATTTGTGATTTATACTTAAAACATATGTGATTAAACAGAACGCTTAATATATCTAGATTTTCTGAAATAATTAAAAAAACAAATGTACCTAAATAATTTAAGATATATATTTAGTTATTCTTGTTAGATTTACTTACTGTTATTTTTTATTTTGTAGTTAATAATACACATTTATTCATGTTACACACTCACCAATTTTAATACAATTAAATACTTAAATTAAAAATGCGTTTTTTGTATTTTGGGATGTTTTATTAATTGTAATAACATTAAAATTATGAGTTACGAAACATTGAAAAAAATATCATTATGCAGAATATATTTATAAAAAATACTTGGAGTATTTGAGAGATACACATTTAAATATTCATGTCAATTATAATATTTTTTATTATTAAGTCTAGAAATTAATAATAAATTTTATTAATAATGAATTTTACTATTAACACTTTGATGACCTACAATTTTACTGAAAATTTATCTAGTTTCGATCAGCAACATTCGGCCATAAAACAAGAATTAACTCGCGACTGATCATCAAAGTGTTCATAAGTGATTATAGAAGTAGATTGTAAGCACATATCATTTCATTTGATCCACTTTACAATGGTTGCTTCCGTAAATAACATTTAAAGGTAATAGTTTTAATAACAATATTAGTGTGTATTACTATTTCTTTCATGCTCTTTTATAATTTAGCTCATTGATTGTACTATTGCTATTAATTAGTAGTTATGATAGTAGTATAAGTATGATTTACTATTTCATTTGGTCCAACTTATACTATTCAATATCATTTATCTTTTTGGCTATTTTAATAAAATTTTATGATCGGAATATTATTTTGAATTTAATATATTAATATAAATGAGCTACAATCTACAAAGCATTAAAATAGAATAAAACAGACATAATATTAAAGAATTAGTTAATTGTAAATATGAGCATGCACGATTATGAACCTTATATAAGAATCATTTTGAAAGGTTCATAAGAATTACACATGTTTTAAACAACTTAAAATATTTTAAACAAATATATATTTATGTGGTTTATATATATTTAAATTGTTTAAAACGAGGCACTGCTCTCTTGATAAATGTTTTCGCAAATTTGTTTGACAGCCCCAACAACAATTTCTGTTATACTAGAAATGTTTTAACCGATACGACTTATAGTTTATAAATTAATAGTTTTAATAGTAATACACATGTGTATTACTCGTTTTGAGTTATAATACAATTGAATATAATTATTTTTTTGAGCAGTTTTAACGTGATTAGAATACTATTTTGACATTATTGGAGTATTATAAATGAGCTACAAGCATTGAAATAGCGAATACACAAATAATATGTGCAGAGAAAAAAGTTATTTGCAAACAATTTGTGAATCTGAGTATGTGCAATTATTATAATAAGGTTTTGTCGAGTTTTTGAAATAATTCTTATATTTGTTTAAAATATTAAAAGATAAGGCCCTGTAGATAAATTTTTCTGAGGTGCTTGTATGACAGCTAGGAATGTTTTCGTTGATATTAGGTATTTTATATTTCTATTAATGACTTCTGAATTGTATTACATCTTTTTTATTCTATTAGATAAAGATATATTTACATAATTAGATTATGTAAAATGTTTTAAGAGTAATCTTCAAAACTGTAAATTCTAACCTAAAAATCAGCTAACACATTTACGTCAAAACAAAATGAGGACCACCAACAAAGTCATTCGAAATTTGGCGGCAAATTGTATAAATTAATTTGAGAACCATATAAAAGAATATATTAGTTAGGCATTACGTAAGAGCTAAAATAACAAATACATTTTGTTTTTAACTAAGAGTTAAGTGTCAGAGTAGAAATTAATTTAATGTTGCCAACAAATTCTTGTTGTGATGTACCCCCTGATTAGGTCACTAACTTTGACATGACGCCATTTTGACACCGTCAAACTGTGATGAATCAGCCTCACTGCGCACGAGCGGGCTGTTTTATTACTATGTTCCGACTACTCTGGCCGCTATCTTGTATCCCCTCTCGCGATTGCAAACAGTCGGTTTGAGAAATTGATGGAAGTAGGTTGTGCGCTCGTTTGACATTCGCATATGGACTCTTATATAAATAAACAAAATAAAAACAACCCTAACTGTAACATATATTAAAAGTTATCTAAATGAGAATATTAATTAGTGAACGAACAAGAATAATAATTATATATAATAGATTATATTACTTATATCACAAACAAAACTGAGTTGCCATGTGAATTATTGTGACATACGTTTATTTTAAATTTTTTTACTTGTTTTGTAGTTGTATAGTGTTGATTGTCAGTGTTTTTATTTAATGTTAAATTACTTAATAGTGTTAAGCTGTGAGTGTTTGTGGTCAGATTTTCTGAGTACGAAGCCGTTAAGTTGGCAGCCATTGCTGCTGGAGTTGAAAATAGGTAACTTTCTCTTTAAATCCTTTAGATTATTGTTTATATACATTTAATATATGCACTTACTGCTTTATACATCGATCAATAATCGTTTTAGCGTCATATTTAATATTTATACATTTTTGATCACATTTTGTGTTATATTATAAATGCATGGCTATGCAGTGTCCATACTGTCAAACTGACAGTTCTACTGTCAAAGTGCTATATGTTAAATTTAGCATACACATGGCATTTATGGCATAGTTGATTGTTTAACACAAAATATATATTAATATGCAATAATTATTGAAGGAATACGTTGCTTACTTAAGTAACTATTTCTATATTCTTTTATGATTTCGCTCGTTGTATCAGAATTCATGATGTAATCAATACACACATTTAATGAATGATTAATTAGAAATATTAATCTGAAGAGTTGTGCTAATAATTTCATTAATTCGTGGAAGTTTTATGATATTGTCAGTTATGTCACTTTCATAATAAGTATAATATTTAGGGTTCCGTACAAAATATCCCCTTGCAGTATATTTAGGGTTTCATAAAATACCCCCTTGGTGTATCTTTTTGTATCTGTTTCTTTTATCTTCAAATATTAATTTTTCATATGTATGTATATGTTTATTTATTTCATAACACTATTCATTTTTTAAACAACTACTTTATCAGAAAATATTTATATTGTTAATATCTTTCAATATGAAATACATAAATTTTTCGTAGACATACTACAGAAATAATCCTGTGATTTGTTATAAAAATATATATAATTTGCACATTATTTATTATTCTCGTATATTCTATGGGAAAAAACAATATGCAAATGATGAGTTCTTATGCAAAGTTGTCACAGAAACAGATAAAATTATTCAACAAACAGCTACTCGAACAAGTCGTAATACAATACACTTAATGAGTTTCAATTTTAGAGAAATATTTTGGCCCATAATTTACTTAAAACACTTGTTTGAGCGTACACAAGATCATGAATATACTAAAGACTATTAAAACTGTAATTGCAACTTTTCTTCATTTGTAATGAGTTTACAATATATATCCATAATATAATATAAGGAGGCTTTATACTTTTTTATCTATTAGATCTGCATAGAATCGTCACATTTGTGCAGTCATTCTTCATATAACACTTGAGATATTTTATTTCCATCTATAAAGTACACTCAGGCTATAGGAAGATATTGAGTAATTAGTTTGCCATTTTATAGTATATTTAAAGCAACGTTTCGCTTTTTGTTTGTATATCATATATCTAATTTTTGTATGGAAAGTACAAGTACATAGAATATGTGTATACAATTAAAATTAAATAATATGTAAACTATGTTTGGATGCATACATACATATCCATGAGATTATATTTCATATTTTATAGTTTCATAATTTTATTAACATGACTTTTAATTAGTCATGCTGTAATATGAGAGACACTAAAACGCGACAGTGACTAATTCAAGAATGATATTATTATATTCCATCAGACCAACGACTTCTATTCTATTATTATTTATTAATAACTTTGGGAAGATTTTATATACTTCAATATTGTATTGTTAGTAGGCGTAACTTTTAATTTGAGCAATATCAAGCATAATTTCCAGTATATTTTTTATATCCTAATAACCGTTTACATAATTTTCTTTGGTGAATTTTTAAAAAAATATTTTAGATCATTATCAAAAATATGCATAACTAGCTTATGATGCTAATGAAGATGTTACCTCATTAGTAGTAAAGATCGGCGAAGTATCAAGCAGTATGATATCAGATCAGTCACTTGAGATCATAGATTTCAAATATGATCTCAAGTAAAAATAGTCCCTCAGAGTTATTGCTGCACAACAATATAAAAAACATAGTGCCAAGTATAGTTGTAACATATTAAAGTCATAATATGTCACAACTAGGACATGACGAATACTGGATTGCCTTTCAAATGAGCCATACTTTAAGATCAAAATAATTACTAAATGTTATAATTACTTAATGGATATTTTACCGAATAATTATGAAGATAGATCTATAAGTTAGCGAAGACGATCAATATAAATATTACGATGGGCAAAACTAGAAGTATAAAAAAAAACAAGCTTAAAATTGAAGAATATCAGTTCTAGAAGATTAGAAAAAGGACGTTGTGAATGACAATGCTCTAAGCGAAGCTAAAAACCAGAAGATTTGTAGATGTAAATTTACATTTTTTAAATCTTATATATAAAAATAGATCGCAAAATGTGTTGGTAAGCGCATAACTCAACAACGCCTGGACCAATTTGGCCAATTCTTCTTTTAAAATGTTCGTTGAAGTCCAAGGATGATTATTACGGCGAGAAAAAATCGAATAATTGCCGGGAAAACTCTAAAAATAGCCCTTTTATTTTTCTCATACAAACGTACAAAAAGCAGCTAGGATGTTCCAGAAATTAAAATAATATAAAAAGTTTCGCAGATTGAATGATACTCATATGAACAGGATATGACAATTTAATTTACTTAAAATATAAAATTAAGTTTTAATCAGGGCGGGTCCTATCTTTAATGCGATGCATGCGAAAAATACGAGCGCACGCCTTAGGGGGCGCCAACTCAAGATTCGGATATTAAATGTTCAATATAGTTTTTTTTCACAATATTATTTCTTTGCATTATTTACCAATTTTTCCACAATATTTTTGAAATTTGCAAAAATTTCACTTTATAACAACAAATGGGCAAATAAAGATGAATACATACAATTCGCCCCTCACGATATCGATTAGGAGAAGTTTAAAATGCAATTTTTTGTATCTTAAATAATAAAAAATTAAATTAATTTAATCCAACATAAAGTACCAGTGTTATGTTATGGTTATGGTTATGTTATATCGTTTAAAAGACTTCGATTTCTAATAAAGTGTGGGAATTGAGACTCATCATTTTATATAAAGCAGTTTTACATTTAATATCGCTCACATTATGAATGTATATGCATTTTGGCGTAAAGAGTAATTTAAAAAACAATAATTATTATTTTTAGGTAAACAGTGAATATTAGTATATTATATTAAAAAATTATAGGCATGGGTACAGGACATGGGTCTGTCGGGTCATCTAGTTTATTTATAAAAAATCGGGAGCGTGCTAAGCAGGTTTATTTGCTTTATTGTAACAATTCATGGCATATAAAAAATTCCCCTTTTTCCTTTAAAATCTGAAACGCGAATCGATTTCTCGTACTACGGTTCCAATGCGGCACATCGTGTGGCTCATTGACCTTAATTATTGCGAACCAAGTTCTCCGTAGCATTTACTATGTTTAGCGTCCCTCTCCTTTTTGTCTTGTACCTGTGTAGTGCGGTGTATTCGGTGTACTGCACCGATCACGCCATATACTCACGGGCGAATCAAAGCGGTCCAACTCAAGGCGCTGATTTTTGAATTCTCTGCGCAAATTCAATATTGACGAACGATTATCGGTCATGTTTAACAAAATCAATGGAAACTTTAAGGGAAATATGCATTCATCGATCGAATGTCGGTCGATTGTTTTTGTCGATGAATCGATGGATTGTTTTGCGATGAATCACTATAATAAACATGGCGGTTGGAAAATATTCCAAATGGCAACAATTGCTATAAAGCAATTGTTTAATTGTTATTATTATTCTGCATATGATATATATTCTATATTCCTCGATTAAACATCTTAGGGGCTGTCTAATAATCACACGAGGCTTTGTCAAAAAATTAGGAAATATTACGTGATGGGGGTGGGGGGCGGTTGATCTAATAAGATGTCACGTCTTTTATTATTTATCAGAATAAAAAAAATCAAATTTTTGTAGTAAAACTTCTTTAGGCGCGACTAGGTTGTAAGTCCGTATAAATGCAACGGAAATGCGTTACGGCAGAACTATGTGTCATTCGTTTTCGATGAAATCATTTCTATACGGGTCGAGTTGTCGTGTATGTGAATAGAGATCTGTCGTTGTATGCGTACCGATATCAACAAGGAAATCGGCATAGATAAATAAACATTTTAAAGTTACATCGTAGTACAAATCTTGATTTAATGAAAAATGCCTGAATCAGAAGAATATATTACCTTCTTGTTTCTTGAAAATATTTATTAATAAGATTAATGATTAGTAAATTTATTGATTAGAAATTATTTCTATATTATTTAATTATTACACGCACACGCACGCATTTTTTTTAAATTTTATGATTTTTCTAGGTCTGCACGAAATGTTTGATAGGAGAGGGTGTGTAAGATTAAATATCACCCAGGTTGGTCCAAAATTTCTTAGAGATTAATGGCGTGATTAATGAATGGCCCTTAAACATATTATACTTCTTTTCTTCAGTTCTTTACATCTAGTAAAAAGCTCCTAGCTTTTGAGTTTAGATTTTTTATACTATATATTTGGACGGAGATCACAACAAAAGTCCTATAAGATGTTGGGATGAATAAACTTAATTAACTACATCGGTTTTTAGATGGCAACTCAAACAGTTGTTCTATCTTTATGTGATAAATTTAATTATTACAATTTCTGCAATGTTCATACCCAGACGTCCAATTTCTGGATTGGCATACCATTTATAGATAATCTAAGTACTACCAAAAACTTGCTGTGCTCCATATGGAATATTAGAAAAAAAATCTGTATAGTGATGATTTTTTTATTCATACAGAAATTCAGGGTGAGGCCTATTTTCACTTTCAATCTCATATTGCTATCTATATTTTCAAGTAAAAAAGTTAATTTGTTTGGATTTGCATGAGAATATTGTTTTGCGATATTTATGTTAGACTTCTGCATCAGGTAGAATCTCATTAACGAGTTACAAATTCTTCAGTTTCCATTTTTTATAAAAAAAACTGTTTTATTTAATATACTTGAAAAGCTTCAATACTTTAACATTGTTTTTCTGCGAAATTATAAAAGTGATTAAGGCGAATAATTAATCATGTTTTTATTTTCTAGCATACTAGTCTAATT